AAAAAAAAAGTGTGGCGAGCTGGCCCGAGCCCAGCTTGAAGGGCAAGAAAAAATTTTGGAAAAAAATGCAACGCAGCACAGCGCACAAGTTGTGCGGCAGCCGCTGAATTTCGAGAACAACACTTTTTGGCGGCTCGGAGCTCCGGAAGTCGGCCAAAACGACGCTGTGGAGGAGCCCAAGCCCATCCGGCCGACTGAGCAGCGCGGCTGCAACTCGAGAGAGAGGCGCGTCGAGTCGAAGCTGCGGGAGTCGGGAGTGTCACTTTGGGCCTCCAACTCGAGCGGAAAGAGCCACCACCAACTCCACATGAAGACTAGGCACACTCACCCCCACCATCCCCGCCCCGCCAACCTTGGCCGCACGGCGAGCCTCGCCGTCATGCCACCCAAGCACTCGCGCCCCCTCGTACGCACCCTCTCTGCGTCCAGCGCATCCACCTCCCAGCCTGCTTCGTCTGCTCGCACAAAGAAGCTCAAGCAGAACAAGCTCGACTTTTCCTTCCACTCCACCTCTTCCTCGTCAACAGGATCGCGTCCGCTCACCAAGACACCGTCCTTCAGCCTGCCATTCACCAACAGCAAGGGGAAGGAAAAGACAACTGCCAGTGATGCGGTCGACGAACATCCATCTGCCCTTCCGAAAGCTGCCCTGGACGACGAATCGACGCTCCCGGACGACGGCACTTTCCTGTGGTCCGAACGACTGGCTCCACAAAACAGCGAAGAGCTCGCCGTACATCCGCGCAAGATAGCCCAGGTGCGCACATGGCTTGAAGAGGCATTCTCCAACAAGCCCGTCTTGGCCAGGCACCGCAAGCTGCTCGCCCTCACCGGACCGGCAGGCTCGGCAAAATCAGCTACCATCAAGGCTCTCGCATCGCCAGCCGACCTGGACTACGACATCCTCGAGTGGCACAACGACACACCTTCCTTCGACCCCACTTCCGCCTTCGTGCCAGGCTCCTCCTTTGCCGACCGCTTCACCGACTTTCTCTCCAAGGCGGCCAAGTTCCCTTCCCTCCAGCTCCAGTCCTCCGCCCATGCTGATATCGACGAGTCCAGCGCCGGTGCTTTCGCCTCTTCCTCGCTCGACACGCTCGACTCGTCAGCTGCGGCTGCCAAGCGCAATAGACTCGTCCTCCTCCAGGACTTGCCCAATCTTCACCACGCTCCCACCAGGTCGCTCTTCCAGGCGGCCCTCGAGCAGCACCTCGCCCAGTCCACACTGCTCACCTCGCGCGGCGTGCCCAACGTGCCCATCGTCATCATCGTCACCGAATCTGCGCC